TATAACTTTTTTTTTCCAATAATAATCGACGTGAGATGAGTCGCCTAGCTTGACTAGATTCCAAACCCCTTAAAAAATTGTGTCTTCTTGAGTTCTTGGTTCATTGGAGTTGGAGGCATCTTTTTGGCTCTCCGCCAGGGCATCCAAAACCATTGGATTGGCCCTGCCACCCATATCCACCATAACAAGCTACCAGCTGGTCCCATGTTGATACAAATTATTGGAAACCTCCCCCATCGTGCCCTCCACAAGCTATTCGAAAGGTATGAATCTATTATGTTGATCCGTCTAGGCTCTGTGAATGTAGTCACACGTAGTCTCTTCGCCAGATGCTATCAAGCTCTTCCTTGGAACCCATGACGCCACTTTTGCTTCTTGTCCGAAACTCCAAGCGTCAAAGTACCTTTATGTTGGTCCCGTTAGGGTCTACAAGGTGTGTATAACAGTTTGTAGAAGGGGGGGGGGGATGAATACAAACATAGTAAACTTTTCAAATTTAAAATATATATATATATATATTGATAAAGAAGGATCAATACAGATTTTACAAAATTGTTTGTGGAAAGATAAGGTAAATAAAACCTATCTAAACATTCAAAAGTTACACACTAATTCATAGCAAATAAAGAAAAAATTTGTTGTTAAAGACTTAGAATAAAGTAAGTTCTATCTGGGAGAGAACTACTTAGAATACAACAAAGATATTTTAACTTGCTCTTGAAGATGAGCGTATTGTGTTCTTAGATGTGTGTGTTCTTTTACTTAAGCGTAAGTAAGTTCAGAGCAAGAAGTATCTCTGCATGGAGATAGAACACATATATTTATACCCATTGCATCAAATGCACATTTAATGCAACATGGTAGGGTTAGAACGCGTGTCAAGCCTTTAGAGAAAGACTTGTCCTTTGCTACAGTGAACATTAGCATACATCATTTCACAAAGTTGGTGGGTAATAGAGTCAACTAATCGGATCTGTACCGTACTATCTTTTAGAAAGAGTATGGGATTGTCCTTTGGGTGTAAGAGGACAAGACAAAAACAATCGTGCTCAACAAGCTTATTTTGATCGCTGAAAGCTGGAATAACCTGAAAGTCTCTTCAACATTCGCTGAGGCTTGGGCAGTCTTTGCACATATGTAGAAAAGTTTGGAATCACTGAATACCGCTTCAGATCACGTACTCGCCAGTCTCTAATCTTCAGTTTCAGTCTTCGACTTTCGCTGAAGGTTATTTGGTGTGAGTTTTGTCTTCTTGAAGTATCGCTGTCGCTGATTGGATTTACATTACAAGTTCTTCAGTAATCACTGAACAGACTCAGTGATGATCGCTGGAACTGAAAACAGAAACATAAATACTTCGTTTAAGATAAAGGGGATTATCATCAAATCAATGAGAGAGATGATCAACACTTTATCATGGCAAAGGGGGATGGTGTTAACAGAATACGATCCATAGTGGCGAAATGTTAGGAAGTTCTTTGTATGATAGAGTCGTTAAGTTCTATAAAAATTAATGGATTTGCAGGAATGAGAAGAGAGAAGATTAGAGTTGCATCAATGGCCAATTATAAAGTGGTGAATTTGGGTGAACTAGTGGGTAGTTTGATTGAAAGGGTGAGTTGCATGATGCTTTTTGGGAAGAAAAATGATGACATATTTGTGAATAATTGATGAGGTTTTGGAAGTGTTTGGTGTTTTCAACTTATTATATTAGTATATTGCCATCCTATAACCCTTTGATATCCAAGTAACTTGAATATAACTATATATCCACTAAAATTAAACTCTAGTTGATGTTATAAATATATTTATTAGATTTATTACAGTAATATTGAGTTTATAGGATGTCTAAAGTGTTTAAACATTTTGATATAATACTTTTATAGAACAAAATTATAAAACGTCTTATCTAAAAGTGTTATAATAGGTTTATAAAACAAAAACTGGAAGATTTAACAAGTTTTTAGAACGTTTTTTAAAATAAGGTGTACTATTAGTTATTTTATAAGACATTTTTTTAAAAAAGTGTCTAAATCGATATTCTTAGGATACTTCATTACGAATTTACGATATCGTGTAACACTTTAATTAAGTATTTCAGTAAAATTCGAAATTTTTAATAACATAAATTTTATGGTATTTTATCACTAAAACAAAAAAAATTCTTTATCATGACTATTTTATTAAAAGTGTACTAATTTGTAAAAATACGACACTTAATTCTGAAAGGGTTCTAAAAAATTTGTTAAAACGTCAAAAAAACGTTCTATAAACCTATTGGAACACTGTTAGATATGACGATTTTTTGGGTCCTGTAAACTTAAACTTAAAATTTAAAAAGTATCCCATTTGGCTTTCATATATAGAACATTTTCCAAAAGTGTTAGTTAAAAGGACCTAATACGAATATTTACTTTTTGGTCTTATAAACTTAAACTCTTATTAAGTATTTTATTAGAACACATGTGCTTTTCAAAAAGACCCACACACTATAATGAAGTAACGAAACAATAATCCATGCCACAATATGCAAGCACTAGTATGGGTCCGCCCTAAGTGTGACTATGTATTCAAACATTATCAAGGGGCATTTTGGATATCTAATCAATAATTAAAGACTTATATAATTCATACAATGCAATGTTTTTTTTTATTAACCTGGATATCTAACCCGCTATGCGAGCCGATTAATCTCAGGACGACAACTTGCTTTGCAGATAGCCTACAGTCACCGCGTTTGAACCTCCGTGGCTATAAGGGGATATTTATTCTTCTTTAGATTTGAACTTGAGACCTCCTGGTACTTTTGACCTTTGAAGCTAAGCTCAAACCAATCAGGCATCACCCTTGTAGTTATAATGCAATGTATTAGAAATGAAAAGGATTGAATGATTGATTCATGATGGTTGCACATGTGATTTTTTTAAATGTCATTCCCTTGTCTTAATAAAGAGCTTTAAATATTTTCATACATGAAAGAAGAAAAAGTATATTAGAATCATGTTTGTAAAGAACCCTAAGCAAGATTAAATTTGCATAATTAATATGTATTAGTTTGCTCATGAGATATAACATATATTACGATAAAATTGGGTTTATATAACGTTAAAAATATTTAAACATCTTAATAGACGGTTTTATAAGACTTAATTTACATGATCAAACAATAAAACGTCATATGTCTAAAGGTGTTATAATAAGTTTATAAGATGTTTTTTTGGCATTGTAACAATTTTTTAGAATATTTTTAGAGTAAATTACAAGTTTTGTCCCTATGGTTAATGAAAATGTTGGATTGGTTCCCTCAAATGAAATAATTACATGTATGGTTATTATGGTTTCAGTTTTGTTATGGATTAGGTCCCTTGCCATAACTCCACTAACCGGTGCCCCGTTAAGTCAAGGGTATTATCGTCTTTTTTACATTTTAATATTAATGGTACAATTTTGGAAGCCACATGGTACAATCTTTAAACACTTAAAAGAAAGCTAAGACACCCTACACCAGATACCTCTTCCTAGTTCCCACCCTCATAAGAAATACTCCGACCATCTTCTGCGATTAAGATCTCCTGTGAAGTGTTTATCAGAAATTTTTTAACCATAAAATCTTTACCTAAAAAATTACCCTAAATCAATTAGAAGGACTTGAAAATGGAAAATTTATATGGAACCACTAAAACCCATCACTTAAGGAAAATCTCGTTACAAAGAGGGTTTCTATTTCAAAAGCTAAATAATATCCTCTTTCCATATAGGAAATATCCAATTTCATAACCCAAGAAAAAGAGATTAAAGAAGGTATATATGTAAGTATCGTCTATGTGTTTATGATCCCACCATACAAAAAGGAAAACCCATTACAGAGATACTTCTTTTTTTTAATCTCAAATGCCAAAGATGTTTTTTTATTAACCTGAATATCCAACCCGCTATGCGAGTCGACTAATCCCAGAGCGACCACCTGCTTTGCAGATAGCCCGGAGTCATCTCATTTGAACCTCCGTGACCACAAGGAGATTTTTATTCCTCTTTGGATTTAAACCTGAGTTCTCCTGGTACTTTTAACATTTGGAGTCAAGCTTAAACCAATCAGACACCACCCTTGTGGTTAAAAGAAAATGTTTTTTTTCCTTCATGTCATCATCGCCATAAATTTCCAGTCAAGGCCATAACTTCAAACAACTTGGTCCTTGCTTATCTTCATCTATGGATTGTAGGTAGGTGAATACAATCTAGTCCTCACCATCGCCATGACCAACAACTCATGATTGTCGGTGGCCACCACCAGATTTCCTCCTACTGCTTCGATTGAACAATAACTTTTTGTAGGTTTTGATGTTTTATGTTGGAAGTTGCTACTAGTTCGAATAGAGGCTGCAGATAAACCAATTTTGCTATTGTTGTTTGTTGAACGATAATGACGTAATGTGGTGGTAAATATGGGTAGGGAGGGAGGCAAGATAGGAAAGGGGATGGGGTGATGATGTGGACGAAGTAAAGGTGGGAAGGAGGGAGATCAAAGAAAAGGGAATGATGGCCAGCGACTGGAAGGGAAGGGAGGATTCATCGTCATACAGGAAGGGGGTTTGCATAAATACTCATATTATATAATTTTTTATTCTTAAAAAAATAGAAAAAATGTAAAAGAACCTTAATATCCCTGATTAACAGAGTTAAAGCAAGGGACCTAATCCATGATAAAAGTGAAACTATAATGACTATATATATAATCATTTCATTTACTTAAAGATATTAAGCAATATCAGTAGAAATAAAAATAAAAAAAATCGTATAATATTATATAATATAATAAGTTCATTTTCATAAAAGTTTAAAATTTCATTCGAGATTAAACTAAAATACTGTGTTTTCATTTTCATTACAAAATCAACCAAATAGCCCCTAAAATAGTAATCCCTTTATTTACATTCCTATCCTGACCCGCTGATTGTGAGACAAAGTGTGTATAATTGGAGGTTTGTTTGAGCAATACTTTCCGCAAGTTTTAGGGTTTATATAAAGATCAATCGGCAGCTTTTGTGCCTCTCTATCTCCCCCTCCCTCATCGTCTTCCTCTGATCGGTCTCCATTGATGTTAGCTGTAAGTACATTCCGTCTACGATATTTAGCAATTGCTACTTTTGGGATCAATCTGTCAAGAATAGAGTTACATGGTTATGGTTCATTTAACAATCAATCACCTGATTAGTTATCTCAAAATTAGTATGACTATATGTTTCAGGAATTAAGACGTTGTTCGTTATATTTGTTTGATACTCGTGTGATAGAATCCAGTGCTCAAAGCATTCTTGTATTTCCATTATGTGAGTTGTTTATTAATTTTTTAAATCCATTTTGTCGGCTACATTTGGACCGGTTAGTTTGGATTTTACTTCGTGAGGTATCCTTTGAAATGAGACATCGTTGTTATCTTTAATTTGGAATCAAGATTGTGTGATGTGTAAGATCAATGTACATCCTTGGACAAATAATTATTGGTGGTTTAAGATTAATGCATTATTTAAATTGGTTCATCCAGTAATTTCTGGTTCTATGTTCTCTGTTTTCTATTCCGATACCATTCTAGAATTTTTTATGTTTCATATATGATCCAGTTTGTAAATTGATCTTTTTCACCTTTGCTTTGTTAGGTATTTGCATAATTGGGTGTTGGTTGCTGTCAATTTTGACCATAATCGTGTTGCCCTAATTGACCTCCCCTCCAATTGTTGCCTCCTAAACACCGGGATTTGCAAACTTTGATCTGCAGAGCTGCAGAACTAGTGCTAGATTGCACCGTGATCAGGTAACACCTGAATGATTCAATAGAAAGCAGAAACAGGGCCGGCCCTGGCCACGTGCAGCACGTGCGGTCGCACAGGGCATCAAAGCTTAAAGGGGCATCAAGTTGTCATCTATTACTAGTTTTGGGTTTAATAATTTAGGAATTGAACAACTGAGTTTTAACTATAAAAACATGTCCAATGCTTAGTAGTGTTAAATACTGAATGCAAATCGTGAACCAGTTAACGCTAACATTCCAACAACTCAATCTAATTTCTATTGTTCTTCAAAGTTCGAGTATTTCGATTTTCAAGGCATGGTATTCTCTTTCCAGCCGATTAACGGTCATGAAATTAGATTCAAGAAATCAAAGATGGAAATCTTGAATGATTGATTTCTACTATTGATTGAACTTACCGAGTTGATGTGCGAGTCATATTATGATTTATGAATCTTTATATCTTTTTGCAAAAAAAAATCTAAATTTCTAACTGATTATTATAAAGATGGGTCATATGGTCGTGTGGGTTACCTACCTACTAAGCTAAGGCTAAGGGGCTTTTGTCATTTTGATAATGAGTCTTCCTCTTGCATATTGAAATATAAGAATTGAACTTTTCAATGCACATGAGCACATCACTGTATCAACATAGCTGAAGCACACTACACCACATTAACAACATATTGTGATACTGTCTTAATTATTGGGCATTTGTTCTTTACAACACACTCACACAGTAACATAGATTATGAATTTTACAATTTATTATTGTTCTTTTGATTTTTGTTTACTTTGAGGTTAGACATTACCGCATTATATTTAGGGGGCGTTTGATTGGTTTTTTATTAAGTTCTATATGGATAAAGTTGTTTGTATGAATTAATCTGTTTGTATAAGTTGGAAAAGTTTTTGTTTGAGAGAGTTTTTTCGCAAATGTAAGGAGCGTTTTTTTTAGTTGGAAGGGACATGTTTGAAAAAAAATGGCTTTCTATATAAAGTTCTCCCTAAAAGTTAACTGGATAAGTTATTTTCTATATCATTAAGCCACTACGAAATAATCATGCGTAGTTGAGCAAATAAGTTGTTAGTTTCATTAAGCTTATTAAGTTGTTAATAGATAGACCCTTAGCCTTAATCATTACACCTATAACTTTTGAGTTTTACTTTTTGTTTACTATGACAGTAATTTGGATGTAATTTACTATTTTAGTTAAAAACTAATGATAATTTTCCTTGTCTGTTGAGTCCATATATTGAAATAAAGTTTCTATTTTGCTAATTTGAATTTAAAAAAAAAATTGGAAAAGAAAGAAGCACGATCTTAATCCAAGATTTATTCTTTTATTATTCTATATTTTGTATTTAGGGTTTTGGTTTTTATAATTAATAAAAATCAACATGAGAATGAGACACTTGATTTGAATAGGTTCTAAACTCTTTAAAAAATCACATGTTTCTTTGTTTCATTGGCTTAAAAAAAGTAGGCTTAAGGGCATCTTTTATTATTTTCGCACAGGGCATAAAAAATCTTAGGACCGGCCCTGAGCAGAAATCATCTTCACATTACAGTTCTTTTAATTGACATCACAGTGGTTGCCAAACAACATCTTACTGATTCTTGCATCCTCTTTTCTTTTGTAACAGCCTTGGCAGTTAAGAAAGAATGGCATTCTCGACTCCAATTTCATCATCATATTTGCCTAGAGTGTATTCTCATTTATCAGCACATGATGCAGCCTCAGAGACAAAGCCTAGGATATGCTTATCAAATGCATCCTCTCTCCTTCAGTGCACTTTGAATTACAAGTAAGCATTTCTCTTATGACTTTGTTATTTGAATATGCTGGAAACTCAAGGAGAAACATTACTGCTTATTTGCAAGTAAATAACCAACTATGCAGCTGTTTCTCGGTTAGAATTATACATGCAACCTTTTGAAAATGACTCGTCAATCGTCATCCCTTAAAGATGGTGCATATTGTTCTCTTAAAATAGAGTATGCAAAACTCTTGAAATAAGGGCATCTTTTGAGAGCATGCCACCATAAACCAATGCAGGACTAACTATTAAATTTCTAAGACTTCAATCTTCTTATCATTTTTCGACACTTATGTTTTTTTGTTGTTCTTGAAATGGCTATTATCTTCATTTCTCATTGAGGTTGGTTGTACATATTCAAACTCTTAGCTGCATTGAACATGCTTGAGGGCACTAGGGGAATATCTGCTGATCTTCATTTCCAAGCACTTAGAAAGACCCAACCATTCTTCTCCTACAAGAACCTATTACTCTCTAGCCTTTTTGGAACCCTTAGAAACACCAGATGTATATTTTTATTCTATTACATCGATTTTTATATATATTTTTTGTGATAAATAATAGATTAAGTTTCAGTTGACTAAAGGTGCATGTGAAGGGTTTCTTTGACCTAGTGTGAGAACGAAGTGGCCATGTCACCAAAGCTGAAATAATATATATTTAACATGCAAAGGGAGTACTAGAAGAAGTGTGTTAAGATAAGAGTATACATGTTCATCACTTCGAATCAGTCCTTGCTCGAAGAGATTTACTCATATTTGATCCTGTTTAAAAGTTAAAAATGTTTGATCAATCAGGCAGCTGGGTCAGAGATTGGGCACTGCAAATGGAGTGAAGTTGATGCCATATGTCCAAAATGAATCACTTAGTCACTTTTAGGATGTACGGACTAAGAAGTCTAGATAACAATATAAAACATCATGTAAAGGATAATATTGATTTGCAGAATAAACTTAATTGTGGATGCAGTAAGGTATTGACAGGTAAAAGTTAAAGCTACTGTCTCAGACATGGGCATTCTCTTTTAATCATGACCATTTTTTTGCCAACTCAGATGGGCAATTGCTTTATCTTTGTCTTGACAACTTAAAAAGCCCCATGTTTCTCTTAACAAACTGGTGGTTGAAGAATAATAAATTAATAGGTACAACAAAATCAAAATTATCAGCTCAAATTGATTCCATGGAACATTTTGCTTATCCAAAGATGCAGACTGTCAAGAATAATGTGGGCGCTGTTAGTATGCTAGAATATGCCTATGTGAAGTAGCCATAGCTTTGCTATGCATGTCTTCACTCCTCTGAACAGAAACAAGGTGAGAACTGAACTAAATGTACAGGGGTTGCCAATGAGAATATATGATTTAGTTGTCTGTTTTTGTTTCCACTATTCCTCGTTGAAGTTAAACACCCAATACTATGAAGCTGCAATACTTACCGTTACTGATTGATCTTCCTTCTTAATGTTTTATCAATCTATATGCACTTCATTTTTCATTTCCTTTTTGGACTTCTCTTTAGTTGTTAGAGTTCTAAAAGTTATGCGTCTTACTACATTTCAGAGCATGTTTTCCTTCTCATTTGGAGAAAAGAGAGTTGTATAACTTCAAAGTTTCTGCATCAGTTACAACAGGTCCAAATTTAATCCTTTTCTCGTTGAATACATTTTATATGTATATTATTGTTGTACCAAATGGTTTGAGTCTCTTTTTTCTCCTCTTATCATTTTTGTTCAGATGTTTTAATGCATGAAACCCCTGTGAAGTCCTCAATCGCCAAAGGTGACACTTGGTCAATCCATAAATTTGGTGGCACCTGTGTAGGAACTGCCCAAAGGATCCAAAATGTCGCCGAGATTGTTATGGAAGATAGTTCTGAAAGAAAGATGGTTGTTGTCTCTGCAATGGCCAAAGTTACAGATATGATGTATGATCTTATTGACAAAGCTCAGTCACGAGATGATTCATATGAATTGGCACTTGACGCGGTATTTGAAAAACACAAGTTGACTGCACTTGATCTACTTGATGGGGATGAACTTGCTAGTTTCTTGTCTACTCTGAGTCTTGACATCAATAACCTCAAAGCAATGCTGCGTGCAATATATATAGGTTTTTATCTCCTCTCTTGCTCTACTTCTACCATGTATGTGATTAATATTTTTCAGTGTATAAACAAATATGAGAGCCATTGGAAGGGAATGGTTTGCGTGTGTTCTCATATTTTTGTTCATTTACAATTTCAAGGGAGATCACCAACCTTTATAAGATAACTTATCTGCATCATTCCTGTTTTCTTCAGGTTATATGTTTATTTCATCTAATACCAAATCTTACAATGTCAAGGGTGACAACTGAAACTTAGCCTTCACTATGTTAGAATCTTGAGTTGATAATCTTCTTTTAGAGTTTAGTTTAATGCAGGCCTTTTTTTTAGCTGATAATGAATGACAAATTGCAATTGTTTTCCTCGTTGATGATGCATACTTTGTTTGTAGCTGTTTGGCTATTAGGGTGGATCTTTAGTTTTGTTCTGAGCAGTAAAGTTCCTTTGTTGTAAAAGTATTGAATAATATTGTCTTTATGTTCTTCAGCTGGACATGCTACAGAATCTTTTACAGATTTTGTTGTTGGATATGGAGAGTTATGGTCTGCCCAGATGTTGTCATCTGTCCTCAGAAAGGTGCTGCTGTGGTGATAACTTTTATTGTTGAATATACTTTGAATATGTCAGCTTGTCAATTTGTGTGGATTACAGTTCCTTTTTTTTCTGCCAGAGTGGAGTAGATTGTAACTGGATGGACACAAGAGAAATCCTCATTGTTACACCTGCTGGTTCTAATCAAGTTGATCCTGATTATGCGGAGTCAGAGAAAAGACTCAAGAACTGGCTCCTGCAAAATCCTTCTAAGGCAATTGTTGCTACTGGTTTTATAGCTAGCACCCCTCAAAATATACCTACAACTTTAAAGAGGGATGGAAGCGACTTCTCTGCTGCTATCATGGGTGCTTTATTCAGAGCACGGCAAGTGACAATTTGGACAGATGTTGATGGTGTGTATAGTGCAGATCCTAGAAAAGGTCAGTTTTAACTTTATAGGAGTGATCACATAAAATTTTCATGTTGCTTCATGGGCAGGATTGTTCAAAGTTGTATGCCATAGATGTCTTGTCTGTTCAATTTACTTCAACACCATTAACTATTTTCCAGTATATAGAGGGCCCACTTGAGGGCCAATCATTGCATTTATTCAGAATTTAAAAAGCTGTTGAGATGTATCTGAACTTCTACTAAGGATGATTCTATTGGCATCACTAGCTGTTCTGAAGAAGAAAATCTTTTGTAGTGAGTGAGGCTGTCATACTGAATACCTTATCATATCAAGAGGCATGGGAAATGGTAAACTCATTCATCTCTTTCTGCTTATACCTTGAAGCCTTATCAATTATGTTTGTAACCAATCTTAGGCGATTGATGCAGTCATATTTTGGGGCAAACGTTTTACATCCTCGAACCATAATTCCAGTCATGCGGTATGACATTCCTATCGTCATAAGGAATATCTTCAACCTCTCTGCACCTGGAACAAAGATTTGCAGGCCACCTGTCAATGAACAAGACGAGAAACATAAATTGGAAACTTATGTAAAAGGCTTTGCAACCATAGACAACTTGGCCCTTATAAATGTTGAGGGGTGAGCTTGTATTGCATTTTTTTGCCATCTTTAGCCCACCTTATCATCTTTGCCCATTTTCACATTTTTGTTTAATTTGCATCTATGTAATGCTTTCTAGAACTGGAATGGCTGGTGTGCCGGGTACAGCAAGTGCCATTTTTAGTACCGTAAAAGATGTTGGTGCTAATGTCATCATGATTTCTCAGGTATCTCCCTCCACAATACCTACACTGTCCTATAAAATATATATACAAAATTGATTTGTCATGTTATTATGGTTATATTTCAGGCTAGCAGTGAACATTCTGTGTGCTTTGCTGTACCTGAGAAGGAAGTGAAAGCGGTTGCAAAGGCATTAGAGACTAGATTTCGTCAAGCTTTGGGTGCTGGACGTCTCTCTCAGGTGATAAGCTTTGACTTCAATGAAATATTGCTCCTTCGTTTCATGTGTTGAAATTTTTGTGGTGACGTACAAAAAGCTCTATAGAATCTGTCAAGTAAAGTTGCATCATTTGGTCACTCAGTTTTTATTTGGGATGTTATACTTTTTCGACTGGGCCAATGACATCCTAAGCTCTACAATTTGACAATTTTGGAACTTGAGGAGCTGATAACACAAAATTAGGTGGTACCTTTCTATAGTTCAATTGCTTGTATATCTCTTTATAAAGAAGATGATGTATTTTGCAGGAGCAAGATTGATGGAAATTTCAATCTATGACCTGTAGGTTGTTCAGTTTTCTTATTTGAAGAAGGGTTGAGTTTAGTAAATATATGATAATTAATTTGGGAATTACGACATATCTAGTGGTTATTGTAACACAAGATTGTAATGTTGTTTGATTTAGCTCTCGACTTTGTATCTAGCCAGCTTCTGTTAGATGCATTTTCTGTAAGTTATATGTTTGAGAATACAGAGGATGTTATGTGCACATGGAGAGGAACTTGTGCTGCTGTTGTGCATACTCCATTATTTGGCAGTGCCAAGCCTCTTTATAGATCTCGAGTGGTAAACTGGTAATGCAACTTTCTGAGTATGAGTTTTAGGTGACTTAGATCCTATGCTACTTCTGTGTATGGAACTTTAGGTCCACGTAGTGCAATATCGGTGCATATTTGTAAGACTTTCACTTGATGCTCCAGCGTTGGAAAACGTAGCAAGTGTATTGGTGCATGCTGTCTTTGTGGTTTACATGTGTAGAATTGTTAGTCGGATGTGTATCCACCATATTATGGATATAATATTGAATGTACAGTTTAAGGGATTCTAGTTCTCTCTTAACAATCTTAGCACTGTTTTTATACTTATACATTGGAGTCACACATGGGCTAATTGCCTAATCCATCCTTGCATAAATTATCGACTTATTTTTGTGTCTTCCAGGTTGCAGTAATTCCAAACTGTAGCATTCTTGCAGCAGTTGGCCAGAAAATGGCGAGTACTCCAGGTGTTAGTGCGACACTATTTAATGCTCTTGCAACGGTCAGTTTTGTACCCCTTTATTTGTCATATGCATAATATGGTTTGCCTGCAGGCCTCTTATTTTATCTTTCTATTTTTGCTTTCTTGACTGTATTATGTGATGCATATATATGAAAATGACTAATGGACAAATGCCCACTTTATAGTTAATACTAACGGGTTGATTTTTATTGGCAACCGACATCGTTGAGTTGTATATATTGTGAAGTAAAACTGTGGGTAAAGTATTGTTCTATCACCTCCTAACGGGTGTCAAGTCCGGAAAATAATAAAATATTAGGAATACTATTACCTTTGATGCACAAAGATTGTGATAGCGATAAGTAGGGTCGTCTCCTCGGAGACTCGGTGTCAATCGTGAGTCCAAGACCTAATCACGTGCAAGTGTGTTGAAAACATTAAATAAAGGGGGGGGTGGATGATTAATAATTAGTTTAACCAAACAAACTAAAATTAAGGATTTAAACAATAATGAAAAGAGTTCTAGTAGTAAGTGGACATAAATTTCATTGGACAGTGCATCATTGACTTGTACATAGTACATATATTCACGTCAACTCAGAATGGCTCAAACATTGACATGCATCAATGTCCGTTTGTCACAAAGAGTCAACTAGCACAAGAAGCTCAATGTCTAGTCTCTAACTAGCTAATTGGAACACGTTATGAGCTTGGCAACAATTGTTAATTGCATTAAACTTAAGCAAACACCATTCCTAGCTAATATTCAAATGCCAAATATGAAGACTAGAAAATACAAACTTGCAACAATACACAATCAACTAAATCGATATCAAGATGGAAAAAGTAGGGGATCCTTCCTAAATGGAAAATCCGAGCTTCAACATCCAAATCGAAGGTTGTGTAAATGAGTTGATAATAAACTTGAAATTTGACAAGTCTCGATACCTTCCAATTCAAAGGATTGCTTGTTCACTACCAGAAAGAAATAACTAGCTACTCACATCTAACATCTAGAAACTTCAAAAACTTACAAATTGAAATTACTCCAAAATCGTGCTCCCCAAATCTGGAAACCGCTTATGAAACTATCTCCTGTTGATTTTCGGTCGATACCTCCAAAATGACGGTTTCCGAATTCAATTTATACCCCCTCGATAAAAACTGGGCAAAAACCAATTGATTTCACGATCTGGTGCTCGTTGGCCACTTGGGCCGCTGCTATACCTGCTGGGAAAGTCGCCCGTATATATTGATGATATGAGGCAGTGTTCAATGTGGGTAAACTCGCCGGATAAGCTGCCTGGTATGGATTGGCAATCGGATGGTGGGAACACGGGTTGTGGAGCGAGTAGAGCAGCAGGCGAAGTCACTCGCTTTGAAAAAGACTTGGACCCTTTACAATTCTGCGGGCAGGTTTTTATTTTCTTAATAGGGCTGTCATTTGGGCTTGGCTGCGTTTCTTCTTGTCTCCAGCGGCTACCAAAGGAAAAGCAAAACAAAAACAAACAAAAAAACCTAAGTTGAGCAATAGCGTGGTTTTCTTTTAGCATCATTTGACTTGGTATGCTCAGTCCAGGTCCTATTTGAGAAGTAGGCACTGATCACATTTTAATAACTATGGACCGATTGAATAAATATTTGAAAAATATGCCCAGCCTTATAGCTCTTTGAAGTATATGCTCTGCTTGTACGTCAATCCATCTTTTTGATATAAAAATGAGTGCAAATATGTGTTTATCATGACCAATCAATAACCAAGATTAAGGGGGTCTATTAGCTATTAAATCATGCTAAAATGCTAGTGATTGGATATGAAAATGAGTTCAAATATGCGTTTATAACCTCCTTACTTCTACACCTACTAATTTTCTGTAAGGAATTTGTAACAAACCAACAATTTATCTTTTTGTTCATTAATAGTAATATTTTCAACTTTCTTGCAACGCAGGCTAATATTAACATCCGAGCTATAGCACAAGGCTGCTCTGAGTACAACATCACTGTAGTTGTCAAAAGGGAAGACTGCGTAAGAGCTCTAAGAGCAGTCCATTCAAGATTCTATCTTTCAAAAACATCAATAGCAGTGGGTATCATTGGGCCTGGGCTGATTGGTGCCACGTTGCTTAATCAGCTTAGGGATCAGGTATATTTCACATTTCGTATCATACTGTGTGCTTACTTTCTATACTTCGGTATTCTTATTCATAGGCATTGTAATCTACTAGCTTCCAATGTTTGGTTCAATATTAGATGCTATGGTCATGTACTTCTTCTATTCTATGGAAATTGCAGTGTTTGCTATTTGACTCAAGTTTAGAAATTAGCCAGTCCATTAAATTTGTTTTTTCTTTTGCAACTTCCTTTCTAGTTATGTACCTTGAGAGTGTGAACACCGTTTTTATGAGGATTTCTTGAAAAAACCGTGTACTAGATGTATTGAGAAGCTTGTAAAGTTGCTTGCCAAAAGCTGAAGTTGAAATTTTAATGGGATAAATGGTGTAAGGGCCTGTTCGGTAGTGGCTTAATGGGGGCTTAATAGCCTATATAGCTTATCTGGTAAGCCATATAAAGGTGTTTGGTGGGGCTTATTGAAAACCCCCTCTTCTATCCATTCAGCCGTTCAAAAGACATCCTAGTATCCTACCCCTCTCCCGGCGGTTACTGGTCCATTTTGTCCAGCAAACAAAGATGAGCAACCTGGTTTTGCCTTCTCCAGCGATCCTCCTGGCTCTGATTGATGATTCTAAATACACATACATGTCTACAGCTGTACCTATTCTATCTCCACCTCCCAATCATTATTCAAAGCATCAAATTCTTTTCGTTTGGAGTGAAATAGAGTGATGGGTGAACATATGAAAGCAAATCTTGAAATACCCACTTAGATTTGACACTTTTGCTTTCTGCTAATTATCTTCGTTTGATCGTCTCTTTGGTTGGTGGCATCAGCAATCACAAAGGAATCCCTTGGTAGTTATTTTCTTTCTTCAGTTTCTTGTTCTTGGGTTTATTAATTTCTTTCATTGTCTTTGTTTTATGTGGTTTTCGGAATAATCAAAATTAGGTTTAGTAATTTCCTTCGTCAATTTCATGTTCTTAACTAGTTGAGATTATCTTCTTTACCCGAAGTGTTTGGATGCTGATTTGTTCAAATTATGGTGCAATGAAGAATGCATATAAGGTGTTTGATGAATTTTGTGAGAGAAATGGGTTGTGCTTGGGCATTTCATGTTATGTTTGTCTGTCATAGTTGTTAATGTACCCAAGTTTAGGAACAAAAAGTTTAATAATGGAAGACCTATAGTCAAGATTAGGAGCAAAATGATTAATGGAAGTTCTATCATGAACATTAATTAATGGGCAAAGTTTAAAAAAGAAAAGACACAAACAACAGGGCCAAAATGGTCACTTATATCATTCAGACAGTTTATCAAGCACAACAATAAACGGCAATTTAGATTGATCATATAGACAACTTAATCTACACAGACAACTTAATCCATACATGGCTTAATGGAATTTACAACCAAACGGCCCCTAACAAATTGTTTGTTAGAGTTAAAGAGCTATCAGCCTATCACTCTGCACGTGCTAGTCTATTATTAGGGTTTTTATGCATTATTATGTTCTCCTTAGAAGTCCACGTTGTGTCATCTTATATGTATAGGATTTTCCCACGGTATTACAAATCTGTCTATTGTGTAATTATGTGCATGGTATCAGAGCTTAGGCTCAGATCAAACCTTATGATCAGGAGCAATGTATTGTCATCACTACTCACTAGTTTTTTTTGATTAACCTGGATATCCAACCCGCTATGCGAGCTAGTCGACCATCTGCTTTGCAGATAGCCCGGAGTCACCGCATTTGAACCTCCGTGGCCACAAGGGGATTTTTATTTCTCCTTGGATTTGAACCTGAGACCTCCTGCTACTTTTGACTTTTGGAGCCAAGCTCAAACCAATCAGGCACCACCCTTGTGGTTACTACTCACTAGTTACCGTCTACAAGAAGCAACACTGCCTTGTGATACACTGATACTCCCATCAACCTAATGACCTTTTTGCCATCCTTATGCAATAAAAAAAGAACCCTTTGGATTCTTGTGCTAGCGTGATTGTCTCCAACAAACTTTACTCCCAAGTCCCATCATGTTTTCCTGTCACCGTCATCACATGCAACCTCTGACCAGCCTACAACTGATTGAAAGGTCCTATGGTATGGAGTAAAGGGTATGCCTACACTCGGTAGATTTAAGTCAGAAGGAAATTCTAAGATTTTGTGGTTGGTCTTGTTTGGTAATACAACTCACGTCGGTAACCATGACTCGTACCTCTTTTTCAAGTTGTTTGCTGTGCTTAGCTTGCTTCCATCAAACCAAAGGTTTTCCATTTTATTGATACAAGGTAAACAGTTCTATACTAATTGCTTCTGAATACGATAAGGTAATTCTGTTGCAGGCAGCAGTCCTGAAGGAAAAGTCTAAAACTGATTTGCGTGTCATGGGTATCCTCGGAACAAGGAAAATGCTTCTGAGTGACATGTAAGTTTCATGTATCAGTGTGCCAAGTTTCATGTGTTAGTATGCCATTATACCTTATTTCTTGATCAAATATGCATAAAATATCCTTTCAAGTAGCATCTTGTTCTGGAAGTCATCTATTTCTTGCTAATGGAAGTGCATCGTGTTATATTAAACGTGAGAAAAAAGCAGAGGGACGAACAAAAAATATTAATTAGGTAACATAAGCCTATGTCTTGAGAATTGCTCCCAAGATGTCTCGTGAACATTCTATTCAGCTTATATAATGATTGTTTTCCCATAATGGAACCTGAAGGATGGCATAACTGTGTATAATGGTCAAAACGTAAATGCTGCTATGAGAAAAAGAAAAAACACTAGTAGACCGAAAATACATATGCTAAATATTTCCTTAATATCATATATGTGGGAGGTTCAAATGAGAAGGTGGAAAGGGAAGGTTCGCACGTATTGAAAAAATCTGAAAAAATCCATTTGAAGATGCATAGGTAACCCACATTACATATTATTCTTACGGATTCACATATGAACCGTTAAATGGATTTTTTCAGTGATTCACATATGAACTTTACCTTAGCACCTTCTCACCGTATTTAGCCTTCTCATTTGAACCCCCTCTCATATATATATATATATATATGTGTATATGTATATGTATATGTATATGTATATGTATATGTATATGTATATATTCTGTGTTTTACTGAAATACATTTACCCTAAATCCCCAATAATAAATCAAATAAGAGTTTGAATTTCTAGCATGTTTCCCTAATCTTTCTATCCACATTCTTCTTCTGGCTTGGGAAAAAACAACTCCAATTATTGAATGTAGGATAATCAGAAATGATGCGCTCTTCATTGATATTTTTGAGTGCATGAGTGTATCAGACTGCATTATGAAGAAACTTTAGCAGAGCTCCAAGCATGAATTTTGTTTACAAACTTTGCAGTAAACTTGGTGGCTTGACAAAATCTATATGTTAAACCATTCAGGGTATACTAATGATCTTATCTTCCTCTACAATCTTGCTTCTGTTTTGACAAGACCTTGATCCAAAGTCTGCCTTTGCTTGAGTAGAGTCTGATATCATCTCTTCGTACATGTTTAAAACCTGGGAGGCTCAATGAAATAAAGAGACATTGATGAAGTGAAATATCCTTAACATAGAGATTGACTCAAATACTTGTATATGTTCTGGACTTTAGCAACAGATTCACTTGAAAGTAAATATATATGACGATGCATAACCTTTTAGAGTGGGAGCAGTGTTGTGATTTAGCAATGAAGGGGCTCTATTGACTTCATGATGTTATATCATTCCTCTTCACTTGGTGGGATACTTACAGTTTTGATAGGAAGATCCAAAATACGTGTATTGAGTATAACAAATGGCTTCCCAGTGGTTGGGGAGAAAACTTGCCATGCTAGCAACATTCTGTGGACCTCAGGGGAATGGAGTCATATCTTTCTGTGGTCAAGAGTAGAAATCTTAGACCAAGGTTTGGGGCACCACTAAGATGTAGCATTAAGCTTGTATTTTCTATCCTCGGAAGATGCAAAGTGCAAGTTACACTTAAAGTTCAGCTCCTCTTCATGGTAAAGGCAACTTAGTTGCTTGCTTCTATGGTCAGCTAGCCACAACAATATTTCATGATGGGTTGACATTCATCGCATAGTTGTGAAAAGCGTGCCTGAGGCGTGCCTAGGCGCTGAGGCACATAAGGCGCAAAAGCCTGGGATTTTTCCTTGTCGAGGCAAGGCCCGTAAATGAGGCGCACCAAGGCGCAGCGCCTTGGCTGAGGCGCATAATGGGCTTAGGCGCGCCTTATAGAGATCTACCCTAATTTCAAATAATTCTTGTCTCTTAGACTTCTACAAAGAGAAGTTATTAATATTATATAAGTCAAAACCTGATATTAATTATGTCTTTTAACCTCCTAGACTTCTACAAAAAATAGTTATTATATAAAATCTATTCAATTCTCTATTCAGTCATCTATTTAATTCTAATCAGTCATATCCTATAAATACCTCCCATGCATACGACCCATACATTATACTCTCTTGATTATCGACCTATTAGTCAAGACTTTATTGAGATATAGTTGGTATTACTACTTTTTGGAAATTGAAATTGTACTATGTTTATATAATGGTATTTGAGTTGATATTACTACTTCCTATACAATGGTATTTCCTATTTGGCTAATAGTATTTCTTTCTTGTTGTAGAGGTATTGACCTTTCTAAATGGAAAGAACTTCAGGAAGAGAAAGGAGAGAAAGCTGATCTGGAGAAGTTTGTTCAACATGTGCATGGAAATCATTTTATCCCTAATACGGTACTTGTAGACTGTACGGCAAGCACTGATGTTGCAGACCACTATCATGACTGGTTGCGCACAGGAATTCATGTAATCACCCCAAATAAGAAGGCAAATTCTGGACCACTTGATAAGGTAACAAGTTTGTACCTGAATGTGCTCTGTAATGGATTTTCCACTTAAGATCATTAAGACATCATCAATAAAATATCCAAAATGGAGAATGGAGTAAAGATGAGAGAGAAGAAAAAAGTCTTTGCATTTGCAGGAGAGAGAAGTAGTCTCCAAAATTAAATTTGAATGAGAGAGAAGATGCATTATTTTTTATTTTTATTTTGGAGGAGAGAGGACATAAAATTATTTTTTTATTAAAAAGTTCTATGAAAGTTTGTTGGTTAATGTATTGAGTACATTAATAATATGATTAATGTTAGAATCTTCAAAATGTAGAAACTGTTGGAGTTGAATGTAACTTCTTGTGGAGATTTTGACTTTTGCTTCTCCATTTTGGAAAAAAGCCTCTTGCAATGCAATTATTTCTAGTTGCTCTTGTTCTTGATGGAGTCCTCTACTTGGTGCAGTATTTGAAGTTGCGAACACTTCAAAGGCAATCATTCACTCATTATTTTTATGAAGCTACTGTTGGAGCTGGTCTCCCAATCATGCACACTTTACGAGATCTCCTTCAAACAGGGGACAAGATCATACGCATTGAAGGAATTTTCAGGTCAATCAAGCAAACCTTTTTATTCATTTGTTACAGGATGAATGCAGCACCTAATATGAAACTAGAGTAAATGTACTCAACCACCAAAATTATCACCATGTTCACCTTTTCTTTTTTCATTTCGAAGAGAGTGATTACAAGGAGAGATAATGTTCAACGATGATTTTGTAAAACAATAGACTCGCAGAAATGGACGAATTTCTCCACATAACATTACATGTATCTTTGCAGTGGGACATTGAGTTATATATTCAACAATTTTGTTGACACAAGAGCCTTCAGTGAAGTAGTGAAGGAGGCAAGAGCAGCAGGTTACACTGAACCAGACCCGAGGGACGATCTTGCTGGAACCGATGTGGCCAGAAAGGTATTTCTAAACAGAAACGTATAGATACAAGTAAAATTACATACTAGTCGAAGTCCTTCGACCCAGAAAAGGAGTTGGATTGGTAACTTTCATGATTGTGATAGAGATCCGCTCTCAAGAGCAGATTTAGCATTTGCTCGGGAGGGGACCAGTTGCTTAGCCTTTGCCTACCTTACCTCTTTAAGTGGCTAGACCCTAAGTTAGCATACTAGGTTAGGATGAAATGCTTTTTGTTGTTGTTGCCTCATATAAGTTGCAGCTTTATTGTTCTAATATAATGAAGTTTACTTGGAAGAAGGACTAGACCTTCACAAAGGTGGAAAATTTCACAGTCAATGTACATGTACTTGCAGCTTGGATGGGTATTCCTTAATTTATCTCTTACAGTTATGATCATGTCCTTCTATGCATAACATCCCCTTTTTTCCTGCTCTTCCACAACCGGCAGAAATCTGTTCTAGACTTTCTTTCCTTGGACAAACTTCATTACCTATGCCCAGTCTCCTCTTTCTTTCAAAAATTAAAATCTCTTTTTCGTTGCTCAAACAGCTGTCGGAGGCTGTTGCACATTTTGCATTCTTAAGCTGCCGCCAGCCAGCTGCTTTCGTCTTCTTGTCAGTCGTCTCTCCTTTTCACCTATCTCAAGCTTGAATATAAATTTGAGACTATTATTGTTGCATGTCAACGTTTATCTCCTAATATTTGGATACCTAATGCTAGTGTCTCACAAGAATCACAGGTTGCCCTTTTGGAAGTCCCATATTGCAACATTTTCCTTTCCCAAAGTTTTTTCAGTCAAATTACCCATCTGATTGATTCGCTCTGGTCTGCAAGATTTACTTTAATTTGAATGTAGGATTAATTGAAGGTTTGTTTTTGTAATTAGCCCACCTGCTTAGGAATATTCCTAGACCTGCATTTCCTTCTCTACTGGTATCCTTTCTCCTTGCCTTGTTCTTGATTGTTTTAACCATCACCCATACGCCCTGTATTTCGTTTCAATCATCTAATGCATCTTTTTTTGAGTATGTACTGCATTTCAAGAAGCTATTGGGACTTGTGTCTAGCTTGATTGGTTCATTCTCTTCAACCTAATCCGTGGGTTCAAGTGCCATGGGAGACAATACTTAAAGAAATAAATGTATTTCCTTTTTCTTTGTATGAACTGCCTTCTATCATATTATATTTTCCAAAGAACTTGGCAATATCCTTCCACTGTCAAATATTCCCTGTTCTACCTCTGTTTGTAGCTTGGATATTGGTTTCCCTTTCCTCAGAGATCTCAGAAGCTTGAGTGTGGATGATCTAATTGTTGGCAGGCCTGACCATTAGCCGCTGATACTTATCAACACTAAAAAAGTTTTTTCTTGTATTTAAACGTGTCCCATGTGCATATATTGACCCTTTACAAAGGCAGCTCTCAATATGCTATTCATCTTTGTGCCTGAGAATGTGGTGTTATGATGCTGAACCAATATTGCAGGTAATAATTCTTGCTAGAGAATGTGGCTTAAAGCTCGAACTTTCTGATATCCCTGTTCAGAGCCTTGTCCCAGATCCATTAAAGGTGCGTAAGTACAATATCTTTCATCATTTAGCCAATTTCATAAATCACTTATCTTGTAAGACTAACTAGTCGGTCTGGTCAGTAAATTTCAATACATCATATGCATGGATAACATAAATCAAGAGGGACCAATCAAATATCAATGTATCTTAAGGTTAAAAGTGAAGAAGAGACAGAGGATGCATGATCAAATACAAAAAAATGTTGATACATGGTTATGTTTCATTAGCTATTCTGCATACATTATAAACAATAAACGCAAAATACAATCATAATGAACCATGCAAGTATGTAAATGTATTGATACATACATACATATGCATATGGAATACTTGCATTTCGTATGGGGTATTAGAAAAAAATACACACGATTCTGTAACCAAAATATTCATAGTTCTTCTGTAGCTATTCAAACTGCTTTAGAAGGAAACTTGATATCATAGACTTGCAGCTTGAAGCAAGTATAAATATATAACATTTTTGTTGGCTGTCAGGCAACTGCATCAGTGGATGATTTTATGCAGCAGCTACCATCCTTTGACGCAGATATAGCTAACAAGCGGCAAGCTGCAGAGGATGCTGGAGAAGTGAGTAGCTTTTGCTTGTGTTATTATATGATCTAAAGTGGATTACGTGACGTAATATTATTGTTTATTTTTTAGGTTTTGAGATACGTGGGGGTTGTGGACGTTACGAACCAGAAGGGACTTGTTGAGCTGCAAAGATACAACAAGAAACACCCATTTGCCCAACTGTCGGGTTCTGATAACATTATTGCATTTACGACAGAAAGGTACAACAAACAACCTTTAATTGTTCGTGGCCCGGGTGCTGGAGCAGAAGTAACAGCAGGTGGAGTTTTCAGCGACCTGTTACGTCTTGCCAAAAATCTTGGTGCCCCCTCGTTTTAATTGTGTTTGTAATCGTATCCAAATAAGCCTTGTTGCATGGAATTATACTTTGTTTAGGTGTTGGAAGACATTAGTTTATGTGTGAAGGGAGTGTTGGGAAAAACCATTGTAGCAATGGTGATGGGAGTCCTTTTTTACTGCATAAATAGAGTAAATGCTATGTTTTGATCATCTACAATTTCATGCTCAACAATTTTTTAGCTGATGCGATTATGGTTTGTATTTTTATCAAACTGTGTTGTGTTATGCGGTTCAGTTTGTAGTTTTTAATTATGAAACAACCGTTCAAGTTTGAGTGCATGCTAATTTTTATAAAAAAAACAAGCCTTTAGACGATGACCAACTTGTAATTTCAAAACTACAAGATCAAAAAGTGTCATTTTTGACAAACCATAAAGATCAAATTTATAGTTTACTCTAAAATATGTCTAAATTAGGAGTATTCATTTGAGAGTTTGGTTCGGGCCTTTTGTTTGCAGGTTTGAAAAGTTGAACATAGGTGTCTTATAAATGGGCTCTATCCCATTTCTAACATTTTATACAAAAAAAATGCTAATAATTTATTGAGGAAAGAAATTTTATTTTTCTTTATTATAGAAAAGAAAGTTCTAATCACAAGAGTGATGTCTGATTGGTTTGAGCTTGGCTTCAAAGGTCAAAAGTACCATGAGGTCTCAGGTTCAAATCCAAAGAGGAATAAAAATCCTCTTATGACCACGGAGGTTCAAATGCAGTGACTCCGGGCTATCTGTAAAGCAGGTGGTCGTCCTATGATTAATCGGCTCATATAGCGGGTTGGTTAATCAAAAAAAAAAAAAAAAGTTCTTCATATTAGGTAATAAGTAACCTAGAGTATAGAAACTATGAGTGATACATTTTTATAAAGAATTTCTTTAGTTCATAACAAGAAATATGTGTTATTTTACAAAAAGAGAACTCGTGTGGAGGAAGTAATCGTGAGAGTCAATGGAAGATCAATAGTAAAGAAGATTATCAAGGTTTTTTTAGATAAATAGACAAATGATGATCAATAAGAATATGGACGAAAAGATGATTTGTTGAAATCCAATAAGAATAAATAATGAATGAGATATATAATCTGCAAACTCAATGCATGGCTGGTTGTTTGTGCACTTAAATAGAATTTTGTGGTGTATAGTGGAATCCCAATGAAAGATGTAGAAGTCAAACAATTGATAAGAACACTTGAATTTCCTTTTCCTTCTTGTTTTTTGCTCAACCAAAATATGATATTAGGATTAAAAGTCTATAGAACATGACATATATAAGAGACATTACTAAATATATTTAGTAGGAAAAATTCGTGGATTAATTACAAAACCATGCAACACGTAATAAATCACAAGAGTAATAGATTGATCATCAAACAATAGTACAATATTTATTGTAGAAGCAAAAATAGATAGAAATAGTCAACAAAAACAATTAAAACAAATTAACCAAATAGCAATAATCAATAGAAGTAGAAACTAATAAAAATATTCAACAAAAACATATAGCAATAATAAGCTTAATGTTAAATCATTGAAACACGAAAATAGTCAAACATATAAAAATAGCAATAGGAAATAGGAGATAAAAGAAAATTAGAGAGACAATAAACAATAACATATAACGAATGACCAATTTTTTTTTAATTTTCTTCTCTAATGTGATTGTTAATATATTTTTGGGCCTTTATTGTCTGCTAAATTTTCACTCTTATCATATGCTACAATTATTTAGGTTTCTTTGATTTATTAATTTTTTTACACTATTACTGTATATTAAGGAAAACGAAATTGAGCCCCTAACAGTTTTGGGCCTTGGGCAAGCGCCCTTGCTGTCCTCCCTCAAAGACGACCCTGATATTGTATCTAAGATATATCCCTCAAAGACGACCTTCAAACATCCAATAGACTTTAGTGTTTGAAAGGATTAAGTTGTTGGAACTAACAAGTCCTTAGATATTGTATCACTTTGTTGGTGTGATATGTTTGATGAGAAGACACCACCAACAGATGATCCAAAGTACATTTAGCTGCAATTTTTAAGGGAATGCAAAGTGGTGATGATGATGCTGTTTGGCTAATTAATTAATGTAGGTAAAAAACCAGCATAATAATTACTCTCATCTGTGTATTTGTGTATGGAGGGATGGCTCTTTGCATATGATCAAGGCCTCCACAGATGAAGTTTGGTTTTTATCAATTTGTTTTGGTTATAGTCAGAAGATATATATATATATATATATATATATTATATGCATGCATCCATAAACATATCATATGCATTAATTAGAGTTTAGAAATATAGTTTCAAAGCTAAAACATCACATAAACAAGTCACTCAAAACAAAATAGGAAAAATGTTCAAAAATGAGCTAATCGCAAATAACAAGCGTGAACTGTGAAAGAACCGAGAAGAGAATAAACGTGAGACTTAATATATGTGTTGACCAAATAAAGAGGCCCAAAAAACTGAGCCCAACATGTAATAAAAAAAACCCAAACATTTGTCTTGTAAAAAATGGGTATATCGGACCGATTTTTCCATCAAAATATCGGTAAATATCGGCGATATTATCGAAACCGATATTTTTCCAGAGTCCAATATCCGATATATCGCGATTTTAACAATTCATCTGATTCTAGTTTACGATTCAATCATATTGTTGATAATCAAAATTGGTTTAAAATCACCTTTCCAATTTAGAATTCTGGGATAGAAGCACGTTTTTGGTCATTGACTCTAGATGAAATACCAATTTTTTGGGTGTTTCGTGTTGTCTTTACACCCGTTTTCTTTTACAAAAGGGGAAATGTAAGTTTATTGTTTCTTTCAACCAATTACAAATACAATTTCTTTTGTCATGTATTTGGGTCACTCCTTCGGGGTGCATATGTATGTATGTTTAAAGAAAGCCATCAACCGGTGGAACTAGCCGCTACATCTGCGACCAAGTACGTGTCCTTCCAAATTCAACAACACTTGTATGCTACCTCCAGGTTCAAATCCAAGGAGAAATAAAAATCTCTTTGTGGCCACGGAGGTTCAAATGTGGTGACTCCGGGCTATCAGCAAAGCAGGTGGTCACCCTAGGATTAGTCGGCTCGCATAGCAGGTTGTATATCTAGGTTAATAAAAAAATGTTTTTCTTTTAACTTCTTCAACAGTTAAGTAATATTTACATCATTATGATGTTTAGTTGTTGCTTTTCATATCTTTAAGAATTTAATAGAAAATGAATGGAAGCTTCACTTTTTTTTTTTTGTGGATAAATTTCTCTCTTCCTTAACTTGGCAATCAAACGATCGGCTGTAAGATGTGCCATTTATCAGCTTTTACATATTGAAGCTCTACTAGCCATAGACATCGAAGATCAAAAGATGGCAGATGAATCTCAACACACACACACAACTTTTGAGCAAAATGCCTGTTTATTTTAAAAGCAGTTAGTGCATCATGTTTTTCCAAAACTTGCAGTCTACAACTCTGTTGATCCGTCTCTGGCACCTTCTCTTTTGATGGTGTGAATTTATATGTATTCTCTCATTTCGAATGTGTACTCGTTAAGAAGTTTGATGCTCATGATATACAAATATTTGAGGATAACTGATTTCTAGAGCCTTATGTTACCTATTATGCAAAACATTTCTAATTAGACTGTGAGATTCATATGTGTTTAAACTTGAGGGTCATTATCCAGCAACCAAAGATGATATTTGCTTTCTTGCTTGAAAATACTTTCATTCCTAGCTTCATTGTAATTTACATTATCGTAAAAGTTTCCATCTGATTTGATCTATGGTCCAGCTATATTTTGTGATGATGGAATGACTCGATTCATGATGTAAACTTTCCGTCCATGAGTTCATCTCCCCTTTTCTACATTTGTAACTGTTGCTAAGAATTCCAAGGAACTTTGACCAGAGAGGTTGATTTCTCCATGAGACCACTTAAACTGTAGTTTATTTCAGATATGCTAGATATCTTGCAGTTGATTTTCTTATGAAAGACATATGATGTTCAAATGGAGGAGTCACAAGTTACATTTCAACTTCTAGTGGTCATTTTTTAAGTTCATATGTAAATGTTAGTTAGATTCCCGTTTTCTTATGCTATAGTGTGAGCAAGCACAACTTTAATACTTTTTTCACCATTGATACTCATTTCTGTAGCTTCGTCATCAATGCGAGAACATGACTTTTTCCGCTATGTCTATTATTACTTGGCAAGAATACTATCAGATGCTGGTTCTCAAGGTTTAACTTTAGGTGGTGGGATTCCTACACCTAATTGGGATGCTTTAGCTGACATTGATGCTGTTGGTGGGGTTACTTGAGCGGATGTTGTACCTCTAATAGTAGACCGACTTTCTAGCGAGGCACTAAATACTGATGTGGAATATAAGCAATTCTTTGGTTTAAATCACTTTTTTTCTTACTTTCATTTACTTCTCTATTGTTTTATTCGATTTGCATCGTCATACAATTTTTTATTGATGTTGTAATTGGAACCATAACTTTCATTTATTGAAAAAGTATCAAGTTGTAAAGACTAATTGCAAATCCTATCTTCATAATGTCTTAAAGTCTACTTAAAAAACCACCAAGCTTCAAAATTATTTACATTCAGTGCTACCGCCATATTGTACGAGTACACAACTAATTCTAATAATATATATAATGCTGATGTGTGCTCTATTTATTACAGAGAGAATTTAGATTATTTATGCTTTGGGTACGACCTTTATATCTTTTGGGAAAAGTAATGAGAATGATATATTTGTTTCATTTTATAAATGCGTTTTTGGTTCAAAAAATGTTTAAGACTTAATCGTTCAAAATATGAAAGTTCACTGGCTTTTTTCCCATACTTTTTTCATTATTTTAACACATTAACCAGTTTTATAGGTCATAAGAATGTATTTAACAGATTTTAGAAAGTTCAATAAGTTATTTAACAGGTTTTAGAAAGTCCAAAAAGTTATTTAACAGGTTTTGGAATGTCCAATGACTTATTTGTTTCAAAGAATTGTCCAAAGATCTAATCATTCCAAACACTAAAGTACATCAGATTTTTTTAGACTTTTTTCTTAATAGAAATTAGATACAAACAGTACCATATTTTCCGATACAGTCTTGTTTAGAAAAAAAACCTCAAACTTGCCCTACTCACCGTTTCTCTCCGAATGAGAAAAAAGAATTAATCCATCCGAAATCAAAATTGTATCGACCAAGAACATTTGTAGATACCAAATATAACATCAAAACAAAAGATTCCAAGAACTAAAGCATCTCGCATAACTAACATCGTAATCTAATTTGGACCCAAAAAAGAAAGACGAATGAGCCGAATGAGATTTACGTTAAATGGTCCTGTCAACCGAAGAAAGACTAATTTTCGGTTTTTTTTTTTACTATTTCAGTTAAACCGACATAACACATTGTACTGACAATTTATAATTTTTTATTTTTATACAAATAAAATCGAAATACACATTATACCATTTATTATTTGTATATTTTACCGTTAGATAATGTTTCTTAGTTAATACTAATTCAACTATCGAGTATGAATATATGATACTTTTATACATCAGAAGCAATAGGCATTGAATTGCAAGGAAATTATTGGAGCAAGTGTCCAAAGAAAAATTATAAATTCGTACTCGGTTTAACCGGTTACTAAATCGAATAACCGAAATCGTCGAGTTGGTTATCAAGTAGTCTGGAAGAAAACTGAAAAGTCAAATAACAAGAAAAGCGATTTAACCAACTGAATAACACCTTCCATTGACGTGCCCTCAACCTCACCCACATTATTTAATGTGTGCCCAGATTGCCAGAGGTATTGGATCCGTGACTTTAGGTGTATATTTTCCTTATCTTTTGGAAAATATTCTCACCAAAGCATATCTCTTGATTCTTTGTTCTTTGTGATTTCAACATCTACTTATATTTTCCAAAAATTCCTCCTCTTAATGTGGTCCTCAAGCTGCATCTAATTTTGACTATAACAAGGGACCCATGAAACACACGTTAAGAGGTAGAGAGACTGTTTCCTTGAATACCTCTGACTTGTAAAACGTAAGCTGAAAGGGAACATGTATGAATCCTAACACCAAAAATTAATAAGTACCAGAGCTTCAAATTTACAAAACTAAAAACACAAAAAATGGAACAATAAAGGCAAATCTACGGCACGGCTAACTGTTATCGGGAACTCGCTATTTTAGTTTCCATAGAATATCTATTGGTTAGTACATATTCTTTCACTTCATTTTGACACTCTTTTGAGAATAAAAGATGATCATCTTATTCTGGATTGGTGGTGCATTAAGCCCATTTCCCAAATGCTGAGCACATGCTTACTGAAAGTAGTGGCTTTAGATTAGAATTGCATAGGCAATATGCATATAACAGTTGAGATATTCTGGAGGTAGGGTGGGGTGGGGTGGGGTGGGGTGGGGTTGTGAAGTGCTAAGTGAAATATATGCCCTATCAGCAGGAATTATTGTTGATGCTGATTCTCACCCTTTATTTGTTAGTTGAACCTTTATTTGTTAGTTGAATACTACGACACCTTATACATCGTATGGATACAAGAGTCATCTAGGCGGGTGAAAGAATTGTGGAATGATGGTTTAGTAATTTACCAATCTTGTCTCATCTCCCTAATTTTTGTTCCACCTATTTCGGTGAGTCCTATCTTGCCCTGGTCTAATGTTAGGCCAAACGTGGGACAACAAGTTTTTGTTCTGTCATGTCGTGTAGTAGATGCACCCTGAAGGTTTTAGGGAGGTGGGGACGTGGGGTTGGGTCTCTCAATGCTGGAGCACTCTCGAATGGTTCTCCTACTAAGGACCTTTAACAAGGCAAAACAATAGTAGGTTAAAGATTTGCAGAGGCAATAAGAATCAGCTAAGAAAGGATGTTTAGAATCTAATCTAAGAAATAATTGATTATGATTAAGAAAAGCATTTACTCAGCCAACATCATGACCTTAGTTGGCACTAAAAAGATGAAACATATCTGATCACATAGAATAAAGAACCACAAATTGGTCTTCAATCACTACGCTGTTAACTGGGTGTTAGCAACTCTCTATCGCAGTGGAATTCTCAGTGGTTGGTGTCCATGCCTTACGCGCGTCTATTTCCTTTTCTTTCGGAAAATTCCCTGACAAGAACATCCCTTGATACTTTTCTCCCATGTCAGTTCAACCTTTGGAGACCCTTTTAAAAAAAATTCCATCTTAGTGTGGTTCTGAAGCTATAATTTTGGCTATCAAATATATTGAGTGGGACCATGGTAGTGGTGAGGGAATCCATCAGCCCATGAGAAGTCATTATGTGCAGGTTCCTTATCTTACAAAACCAAAGGCTTAAACCAGCTGCAAAGATAAGTAAATGGGCCTACAATCAAGATTAACTCAATTTCATGCTAAAATGGATGTGGGGTTGACCTGTTGAGACCATCATGGAGGTTACCTATAAACATTCAGTGCTATCAGTTTTTTTTTATTTTGCCATCAGATGGTACTAGATTCACTATTCGTAGAGGTGTCAAACTAACTCATCTAAACCCCAAGTCAACTTACTCCAGCTTAATGGCCTCAAAGCAAGGTGATAGCCATGACATTTTAATCATACCTCTACAGAAACATTTTTCATATGGGCACAAGCAGATTAATATGTTAAGGACCACCGGACCACACTGCAAAAACAATTATACCTGAAATCGTTTGAGATGATAAGGATTCTACAAGATCAAAAGAATGGAGTATTTTATACAGATTCTTGGTGCATTTAACCTTCATATCACCCATAGGCAGGACCCTCCACCTGCATAGTGGGGAGGATCTTAAAGCACAGGACCTAAGCAAGTTGTCCAAATGAGGCCACCATCACTTTCTGTTTTTTCTTATTTATGTCAACAATAATACTTTGATAGAAGAAATTATAGCCTCTGAAAAAACCTCACTTTTCATCTCCTTTTAGCTAGTCAAACTGGATTCTTTCGATGAAAGAAGGTAGAAAGCTAAGCCTCATGTATCGTTATCATAAGAGCATAATAGTAACCTCTCTAAAAATGGCATCAATCAGTAAATATCCTATACAGAATGTATCCTTGTATATTGAATTTTATTTATGAAAATTCACGATTTTTGGTGTCTAAAGTTGACGACTGATAAATGAACCATGTGCAGTAAAACGACAATTTTAAAGATTGGGTCTTGTTTAGAGCTTGAGCAACTAAAGCCAGAAGAAAACACTCAGGTCAACAGGAAGAAAGCGCGATCTAAGCTCTCATCAGGAGAAAAGAGCTTTGAAAATACAGCCACCAGCGGCGGATCCAGGTTTTCTGACCTAGGCATGCTCTGCATAACAGTTCTTTTTCCGGGTTGAACTACAGTAAGAGTTTTTATACACTAAAAACACCAACTTCTTTCTGGGTATGCAGTAGCATACGCAGAAGACCACATAGGTCTTCCCCTGGCTGCCAGTTGCTTATCATTTTGTAAAAAGTATGATAATCACCTAATCATGATAGATGGCACCAAACACTTCACCAAGTAACAGGTGTTAGGGAAGCCTGTCTTTTGTGATATAAGAGAAGTTTAATAGGTTTCATGCTTACCATTGGATCAGAGTATCATTCACCTTTGCTTTATCTGCCGAAAAGGATAACATTATCCAGTTGGACACTGCATAAACATGATAAAGTAAGACTATCAGCAATATAAGCATGGAAAACTCCAAAAAGTATAAGATGGCTGAGGAGAAAAGCTGCAGAGGATTTAAGGTTCATCTTTTTAATAGAATTCTTACTGTAGATAGTGAAATTTTATCATCTCTTCAATATCAAATGACTTGAGAGTTGCCAATAATATCTGATCTTACAATTTGGCTGGTTTCCTGGTTAGGAACTCTGCGTAATCATCATTCCAGATCCGGGAGGCACGCATATGAATGAAATCTAATGCTTTTCCAGATTAATTTAGGACCTGACTAGTTATGCAATGGTATACAGCATAATTTGAGTAAATGCTGTCAAAGACTGGAATAAGGATTACACCAGGAGTAATTAATATCTTTTTCTACACAGCTATTCTCCAACTTAAAAAACCCGGACGGAGAGCTTACTTAAAATTTTGCTAGTATCCATGGAGCACTTGGGACTTATTTCAAGGAACCATTATTTCTGTTCTAGCAAGTAAGACCACAGGTCTTAGTAATCTGTATATTGATTTTTCTAGAGCAGATCATTGAGAAAAGTCCAAAGACAAAGAACATCTTTTGCAACTATAAAAAGTTGGACCAGATATGAAAAGTTGAAATCAGAACAGTTCTTTATAAATGATTGCATCATAAGCCTTGATCAGAATTCAGAAGTGGTGTCACCTTGCCAATGTATCAAATGACATCAATTCCAATCATTTTAGCATCCACGATGAAACATAAATACAAAGGACTACCATGATGCTTGGACTTGGGAGTTGGGACTACGATAGAAACTTAGGGAAGTGGTAAAGCACATTAATAAAAAAAAAAATGTACCTTATAAGGGTATCAGATATTTCATTAAGCTCACTGGGCACCAGCAAAGGTGTAAATTGCAAAACAAGATTATTTAAACTTTTAGCATATATATTAGTGCCTCAGTATGTATATGGAAACTACCAGTGTAGCACTGTTACATGATAATTTATGAAACAATATCCAACCAAAGATGGCATAATATCTTACATTGTCAAAATTCATGCTGTCAGCGCATCTATCTTCTATCCTAATGGGTAGGCTTTGAATTGGGGATCTAATACCAAAAGCTAAGTTAAGTGCCATCATAAATCCACTTGCTGATGAATTGATGATATAATAAAAGACAAAGAATAAGACTTTCAGGAATAGATAGGGTTTGCTATTTACTACTTTTCACAATGTAACTGGCCTGACTTGCTGATGTTGTGGCTGCCAATGGACCGAATAACAAGTGTTGTACGTTTTCATAAAGATAAAAAATATTATTCTCCAGCTTGCTCCACCTTGCCTCTTTCTCTTCTTATTTATAGGGAGGCAGCATGGCAATCTAGTGCATACCATCCCCTTGACTTCAGTCTTCTCCTTTGACCGAGGCATTTTGTTCCTTCCCTGCTATACTTGTTCCTTTAGAAGATTTGACCCTCCATTTGATTTCAAATCCTTCTTTACCTCTGTCAGGCTCTTTCCCTTCATCTACTCTAGTTTCCTATACCTGTAAACCTTTCATTACCCAAGTAATGGCATCCAGCTCTATGACATCTTCACGTAGCTCCGGATCCTCCTGGACACCGAGACAAAACAAGCAATTTGAAGAGGCTTTAGCTTACTATAATAAGGACAGTCCTGACCGCTGGCATAACATTGCCAGGGCTGTAGGTGGAAAGTCAGTGGAGGAGGTGAAGAGGCATTACGAAATCCTTGTGAGGGATATTATGCAAATTGAATCAGACCAAGTGCCTTTACCCAATTATAGGGATATTGGAAGCAATGGCCGTGGATTTGCAAATGAACAGAGGTAGTTTTCTTGCCATTTCGGTGTCGATAATAATGATGTTGCTCAGCTTATGTCACAAGGGCTATTCCCATCTGCAGGCTTTTCGATCTTCTTCTAAGATAATTAGTTATAGAAACTGCATGAGAATGGAAAATAAATGCATATCTATGAAAAGTATGGTCTCGAGTGGAGCATAATAGAATATAGATGACATGCCCCCATAATCATGATAAAAACAAGTTTGATGAGTTTCACATATTGATTCTCAACTCCTAAACTTCTATTAGCATTATGTTATCATAGTACAATGTGCTGCTGGAATATTCATTTTCTGTTTTCAGAAGCTGCAACCAGTGACAATCACCATATCTTTACCAGAATTATTTCTACTTATCTGCATCTCTATGCTTGTCTTCTTCTGTTATTTTATGAGGCCTCTTGTATAGCATTTGAATTTTAAAAGAAACCACATGAAATCCAATCTTACTTGTTTTGGTCACATGCACATGGTCCAAAACTATACTTTAACTTCAAATCTCCAAGTTGATTATTCTGCATGTTATAATATATTAGCTAGTGACTCTTGTCTTGATAAGGGTGGACACATGATGGACAAAATATTTTATAAGCTTATCACATTCCTCAAGACGACTCCATTAATCCAAGTTGAAATCATGGCAGTTCTCCTTGGATCTAATTATAAATTTAAGCTAGAGTTCCCACTCAACACTTACCCAATAAAGAACTTTTTTTTTCTATCATAGAGGTCGGTTGGCATGTCGGTGCCAAGTCAACGGCCAAAAATGGTCATGACCATCTCATAAAGCATGTTCTCACCTGAGCACATGTGGAAGAGTGTAAATAAACTATTGATGAACAAAGTCATTTTTTGGATGCTTTCAGGAACACATCTGAAGGCAAGTCTATAGATGTGACGAATAAGACATAAAGAAGGAAATATACTTGCTTTAAATAACAAATTCATGTAATAAATCCAACATTATCCTTCGGGAGATATAAAAAAAACAGGAAGGCCTAATGGCTAATGCAATCCACCATTATGGGGTTCAGGATGTGGTGACACCACCATGACTTTCAAAACCATAACAGAGTTGGTAAAAATGTTGCTTTTTCTCACTCAATTCTTAAATTGTCAACAGGCTTCTGAAGAATCTAAAGCTATAATGAAGCTATGGGAAGGAATTTCTACTATAACAAGGTTCATGGAAGGAAGAGCATAAAGGGTTATAGGAAGAAAGAGGTGGATTATGTGTGTTTGTGTGCATTATTTTCATTCTGTTTCCTTATTTAGTCAGATGTCATTGCAATCCACCTAAAAAATGGAGCCTAAATTTGCAGAAAATAGCATGACAAGTATTATGTAATAATTTTTTGTCCCTAATTGTAATGTATTCTCAAGTTTAAGAATGTATAATATTGTGTCAAAAACTTCATCGTCGATATTTTCAAACAAAAATCAAATGCAGAAAGCTCAAATTAACCGTTCGTGATAAACAGTCACCCTTAAACTTCAAAATTAAAAAGAGAATAGATGTAAGATGTTATCAAACAAACTATCTGCTCTGGCTAAATACCACCAGACAATTAGACACAGATGAAGAGGCCATTATTCAATCCAGAAAAACCATAGCTAAAGAATGCATAAACGAATAAAGCTTAACAAATAAGCACGGAAATTGACAGGCAGTTGTAGTTTTCGTCCTCATATCATCTCGATTCTTTCAAAACCAAACCTATTGCAATTGTCACTAACCTTGGCGAAATGATAGTATCATTGAAGTGAAGATCGTAGAAAATCTCGCAGAAGATCTCCGCAGCATCGACCCCGAAATGTTTACGGTTTACAATTAAGAAAAATCCTTGATGGTCAATAGAAGTGACTGAGGAAGATCCCCTATCAATTTTGCTTATATTTTGTATATTTTCAATTGAAAAATAACATGAGAAACACAATAGTTTTTCTGTTTGATAGTTGGTGAATGGTTTGGTTGGACACATAATAATTAAGAGATTCTTATAATATAATGCAAAATAAAATATAATTGTTTGATAATTGTTTGGAATGAAATTAGGATGATAAATGATTAAATGAGATACAAGATACAAAATCATTCAGATAATAAACTACAATTTTGACCCTTGTGGTATACACAAAAATTTGAAACATGCCCCATAAAAGTATAAAAATGGTCATTGTATTTTGCATTTTAGTTTAAAAAGTGGTCTTTCTAATTAGCTCTGGTAAAATTGCCCGTTAAATTAAGATTATTTGGTCTTTTTACCAATTTTTTGGTCTTCTATTTATTTAAACAAATTCCGATATGTTTTAAGCAATGCTTACAACCCTTTAGTTGTATGAGTTGTATGTTCAAAGGAATATTGCTAAGGATCTCAGAAGCATAAGGAATAGTAGAGATAAGTGTATCGTACGAATAGTCAGAAATCTTAAAGTGTATCCAGTTGAGCAAAGAAAGAGGACCTGAAGTAGATGTTTCCTCAATATGAATAGATCATCTAGATTATAGGCTAGCTCTGGAACTAGCAAATGGGAGCCTTCAACCAAAGAGAATGTTAGTGAATCTTAGCAAAACTGGTATTAACTGGAGAACCGTCAAAGGTTTGTTCAAATGCCAAATCCTTAAATGAATCACCATCCCCTAAAATACCCAATTTCGATACATTATGACACACTTTGATGCCCATGATATTATGAAGTTATGCATTTTACTTGTGCAAAGCCATACATAATTCTCCTGGTTCCAGCGTATAAACTTGCTTAACCCAAACCATCCTAAAAGTGTAGGCTAGGCTATAGTACCTAAAATGAAAGGGCGCAACCCCCGACGTCTCATCCACAACTCTGATTAACAAAACCAAGACCCACAAAACGGTAGCTACATAGACTATTGAATTGTAGGATGCTGATAACTGTTGGCTAACTTATTAAAAGGGGGCATTTTAAGCATTTAAACCCCTCATAGGCAAGGTCAGGGGTGAATTGCAACACCCTAATTTGTTTTGGAAAAAGAGCGAGTAATTTATAACTTTTATTAAAGACAATAATTACTTGAAACTCCATCTTAAAAGGATCCATGAGTTACTTACAATTCGCATCGCGCGACTACCTAGTTGTGGTAGTGATTTTGTACGTGTGTACTAATTATATATATATATATATATATATATATGGAGATTTTGTATGTGGTGGATCTTCTACAAAATGCATGTTTGTATATTTGTTGAGTTAGTATGATTTAAAAAACCTTAAACTTAATAAACCCATAAATTTGAATATCTTTTATGGAGGGTGTTGTACTTGAGGACCAGGAGAATCCTTGAGACTTGGAACTATCCGGTTGATTAACTAGTGGTTGGTTTTGGATTTCGGGTTTTAACTTGAAAATTCGATTCACGTTAGAACTTTGAGGCATTAGGTTTATGTTCCATTTGGTTTATTAACGTAGAGATCTTTTTCGTTTCGGTAATCTTTGGACTGAAGAATCAGTGAGTGCTTGCATCAGGGTTTATGTGGAACTTTTCGTATTCTTTGATGATATCAAGTTATTTGTAGATGGTGTTCCATATTGGTGAGTTGTCACCATTGGAGAAGATTTATTTTATGGTATAGTCATTTGGTTGATATTACATACGACCTCCGACTTTAATACTAACGACCAATTGAGGTTTTAGGTGTCATCCCTGTTGAATTATTGCGACTTTTGGAAGGTTAGGGATGTGGTACTCCTTGGTGAGTATTGTTTGGGTGAAAAATCCTAATTGTGACCGACTAGAATATTATCCACAACTATGATATCCTCAGCAATGATTATCCATGACTGTCGTGGTTGTTAGATAACAACGACAACTAACAGTTTTGATTAACAACGACATCCGTTAATTTTATTATTTATTATGGGTCTTATGTGTGACCGAAGATTCATTATAAATATTCGCTCATCAATACACCAAATGTAACCGATGACCAAGATTCAATTGCATCATCCACACAAAATTATTACAACCATTATGAAATTTAAACAACAATTAAAAATCCTCAAATATATATAAGAAGATCAAGACATTCATAAGGCAACCAACTGATACCAACTGACATCAAATCATCTTCTCTCAAAGTGCTCTCAAGAAATTCCTTGATGTCGAAATTACTTCTTAAATTTATCTACGACTTCCAACATCTTGTAATAGCGGTTGCTATTATTAAAGATGACGTCCCTAATTGAAGTTAGTGCATTGATGATAAACACAATCGTTTTCTGCATCACCAAATATATGTTCCACATGGCCAAAGAAACATCAGTGAAATATGCTTGAGCTCCTAATCATTTCTAAGGAATTTCACATCTTCTTTCCCCAGGTTACTGGACTGGGATTTATCATTTCTATTTCTTCTATTTATTTGTCTAGGAGCCTCAATTTTTAGTTGATAGCTTCACGATTCAACCTTAAATTGATTTTGTGCATTTTTTTGGCATAAACAAGTACCGGTGACTGTCGGTGCGATCCATTGGGGTATCAATGGGTTCACCTATGTTTCCTTGGCCATGTAAATGTGCTTTTCCTTTGACCAATCTTATTAATCCAATCAATCATATAGTAGTACAATTCCTTATCCTTTTGTTTCACAATATTTTGTTTTGAACTTAAGACATAAATGTATCTCATCCTTTATAGTTCAAAGATTATGTCTCTCGATCCTAACATATTTCATTCGGATAGGTGCTATTAGTTCAACTAATCCACTTGTCTATGTCCATGTAAATTAAATTATGTAATTGAGGGGCCCAAAAACATCATTCTCAACTTGAGAGGAGCAATTCTCATATGCATGTACACGACTTATACACAATTCATGTTGTACCCAATATAACCCTTTATGATTACCCGATTAAGGGTAACCTTAGACCACATCAAAGTATCACTCCTTATGCATTTAATGGACATCTCAGGTCTGAGGTCAAGAGTGTCCACCATTTCAGGACTCATCTTATGATGCTGATCTATATGACTCTGATTACATCCAGTGCACTTCCAACTTGAACTATGACCATACTTCACAATGATCTTTATTTATTACCAATCCCTTGGTAATAATCGATCAAGGACAATTTTAAATAAAATGATCATCATATTTATTTAAGGATATTTAAGCATGCTAATAATGAACACAAAATGTTTAATGTAAATACACATTTCCAATATGCCAAAACAAATAGAAACATAACTGTTTTATCGTTCAAATAATTTGAAGTTTACATCGGATTAATGTTTTACAAAACTTCAAGCCTATCGAACTAGTATGGACATCATGCTTGCATCGACTCCTAGGCTTATCAGAGGGTCTACTAGATTATCTTCTGATCGAATTTTGTATATCTTGACATCACCTCGATCAATGATCTCTTGAATCAGGTGGTATCGTCTCAGAATATTCTTGGAGCACTGATGTGACCTTGGTTCTTTCGGTTGAGCTATGGCACCCGCATTGTCGCAATAGATCTCGACAAGGTCACATATGCTAGGAACTACTCAATAGTTTGAAATGAATTTCTCCATTGAAACAACTTTCTATACGGCGTTTGACTTTGCAATATACTCTGGTTCTATAGTTGAGTATGTTATCTAATAATTCCATTTTTGGCATTATTCGTGTACCACTTTCCATGCAGTTTCGATCGTTTTCCAAGCAAACAAAGCGTTATTCTAACATTTATTGCAAATTTGTACATAAGTCAATCTTTCAAGAGAAATAAAATAAATCTAATATCTTGATCTTAAATTCAAAATCTTATAGTCTTATTGAGTAGAGGACAAAAAGGAGTCCAATGGCACCTTCTAGAGCAAAATTAGAGCTAAAACAAAGACGACATGGCCAAAATAGTGTTCTAGGTGATATAGTCTGCAATTACAAGGTTCAGATGACTTGTTGGATCCAGGCAACTTTTGAGGTGACTTAAGTAGCCTAGAAAGTCGTGCAAGAGACTGTTTTGATAATTTTATCATACTTTTAGCTAGGGCTACTGCATTGAACACACCAGACAACCAAGAACTCTTCTTGGGCGATTTTAGGCTTCTCTTGGGCGATTTTGGAGTGACGAAACACAAAGATTAACACCGAGATTGAAGATCTGAAGCAGGATTCATTAATTATTTGTGAGGATTCATAGCGAGAGGGGAGTTTCTACTTTTGTTCTAGATTTGATTGAGAAACCTTGTCTAAACATATGAATTCTTTCCTTTTAGTTTTGTTTTCTACCACCCCCAACATGAACTAATCTTTATATGTTGGGGCTCGATTGATTTTTGGTTTGTAAGCATATGAACACTTAAATTTATGATTTTTAATAGGTTTTTCAATTAATAAGGCATATGAATTTTGTGTTTAAAGCTTTTGTGAGCCTGATCAACTT